ACTTTAACCTTTCTAAAATCCATGTAATGTAACTCATTATATAGACAATAACCTCTATTTTCATCACTCCATACCAATAATCCATCTATTTTTATTTTTTTTAATCTCTAATTACCATATTTTTTTTATAGTTCAGATTCAACCATTCCATTTTCCTTTGTCTTATAAACTGATCACTGATGTACATATTCTTAAACTTTTTTATAACAATATTCTGCATCATTTGATCTTTTAATATTCTCCTTATAAGAATCATCCCCTCTACCTTATCTTATCAATGCAGTAAAGAAACTATTCTATTTTAGAACGATATAAATCCTCTAACATTATAATTTCCAATTCATCTAAACTGTTTAACTCTACTCTTTTCAATTATAATTGACATTTTTATGGTAATTATAAAACTAGTTTATTTCCAATCTTACTTCAAATTCATTGAATAATAATTCATCAATTTAGTAAGAAATTAAATTCTCTGAATTATAATGGGACACTCTCAATATATCTTACTTATCCACACACTGTACCCTAATAAATTTGTCACTGTCATATTACTATAAATAACTTCTAATTGAATTCTCAATTCTTTCACCAATTTACTACTAATATATGAACATGCAAGCCTAAATCAATCATTATCATAATGTATTTATTTCACACTAGAAAGATACCTGCTATTATCTCCGGATCATCAAAATCTTCATTGGTATTAATATTATACATTCGAGCAGTGGAGCGTATTTCTTGTTGAGTAGAGGATTCAGGTTGGCTCATACCTCTTCCTCTACCTCTCCCTCTCCAAGGTATCGAAGCAGATCGTTCCGACTGTACTGGTTCTCCTTTCCCCAATGGGCAATCTCTCACAAAATGTCCCATTTCACCACATCGGAAACAAGCTCCGGATTCTACCTTACATATTCCACCATGATATTTTCCACAAGTCTGACAATGTCTTTGTTGGGTTCTGTCCTCACCAAACCCTACTGATTGGGTCTGTATAGATTTCCTCTGATTTGATTCTCTAACGGAGGATTCTACCAATCCAGACCTTGCCTGAGACTGAGTACCAGAATCTCTACCCCTCTTGGGTGGTGCAGAACTCGATAAAGCCCCGGTTCTATTAGATGATTGGGTTTTTTGATCCCCAAACCTTTCATTCTGAGCTCTCTCTAGAGCTTTAGCACGATTTACTATTTCTTGAAACGAGGACAAGTTCAATACTATTAACATTTCTTTCAACCTTGGGCGCAAGCCCTCTACAAACCACTCACACACATCCTTCTCTGTTGGGATCAACTCAGCCGCAAAATGACTTAACTTATTAAACTCGCACTCGTACTCATACACTGTGTGATTCATCTGTATCAGATTCAAAATTTCTTGCTTCATTTGCCTGATAAATTGGTCTCCTATATACTTATGCTTAAACTCTTCTAAGAACAGAGACCATGTCACTTGATCATTGGTCATTCTCAAAGTGACATTTGTCCACCAAATTCTCGCTTGCCCACGAAGCAAGGAGACCACTCCATCTAACTTCTCTACATTAGAACAGTGGAGTCCATCTAACATAATTTTTACATCATTAAGCCAAAGGTCCGCAGCAACATGACCTTCTTCGCCTTCACCTTTAAACTCTGTAGCTCCTAAACCCTTCAACTCCTTTGCAACTTTCATTCTTGGAGTTGAAGTAACAGGAGGTTGAAAACGAGTCAATACCGCATCTAATGTTCTAAAGAACACATCTTGATCAGTTACAGGCACTCCAGAAGGTGTCTGTTCTTCACCTTGCCTGGCCAGGGCAGGTGAATTACTGCTCTCAGCGGGCCGATCATCTCCCGCTTGACTTCTATAACTATCATGTCTGGACATCTATTAAGAATAAACATATCGTTCTATTAGCAAAACAACATACTCATTACTATACCAGATCAGAAGTTTTCACTATTTTGTTGGCATGTATACATTATAAGACACCCTAGACTCTTGTTTATGGCGAGAATCGGCTAAACCGTAGCTCTGATACCATTAAATGTAACACCCTAACCCATACCCGACCTGGATACGAGTCCGAGATGTCACATTGACATTTTCAAAACCTTTACTCTTGTAAAATAACTGAACATTTGAATTTATATTAAGAAAATACAATAAAATATTATTCAATTGTGTTTGGTATAAAATTTTGAGATAAAAACGTGTTTATGAACGGTAAAATACGATATGAACAGTACTACAGTAACCTTCTACAGTGCTACAGTGATTTTCATAAATTGTACATAACACTCGTAAAAATTTAACCGTTCATTTCTTTGCATTTATACTTATATAAATATGTTTAAAATATTACAAAACTCGATCAGAGCATAAATACCTAATTTACCTACTTTATTTACATGCCAACCTATTTATCACATTATAATACATACTGTGTAATTTACTTCTGATCTGATCTTTGAGCAGAGATATGTTGTTACTTTGAACTTAGCTTTGATCATTCTGCTTCTCAGTACCTACGTGTAAATCACTTACACGCTAAGTCATAGACTTAGTGAAGCAAAAACATAATAATAATGCATTTCTCATAAATATAAACATTCAATCTATGAATTCAATCGTGTCGCATATAATTTAGTATACATGATAACATAAGATAATACAAGTACTTTTAATACCTTTTTATCGTATAAATATATATATCAAACATTTCTCTACATACCATGGAACACATATACTACTTCACAACAAAACATACATAGTAGCAAATCAATTTATTTATTTACTCTCTGTAAAGACCATGTATTAGCCCATGTATACTTTTGAGAACTTAAGGTATGTTAGTAAATTGAGGTTGTGCACCACTATGCTGTCACAACAGCTCGTATAAATGTCCCGAAGGACCAGTCCATAGATTCCGAAGAACCTAGGTAATCAGTCCATATATCCCGAAGAACATAGGTAAACAGTCCATATGTCCCGAAGAACATAGGTAAACAGTCCATATGTCCCGAAGAACATAGGTAAACAATCCATATGTCCCGAAGAACATAGGTAAACAGTCCATATGTCCCGAAGAACATAGGTAAACAGTCCATATGTCCTGAAGAACATAGGTAAACCCTCGACCCTTGGCATGCCAACTATACCCCTAGCTCTCATATCACATAACATGGGCATTATCATTTTTAACAGTTCACATTACTTATTCATATTCTTTCTCTTATAAACACATATCTTTTCTTTTCAGTCACGTATCACATGTACGTGTAATCATTGATCTCATAATCACATGTTCTTTCTCTTCTGTCACATACCACATGTATGTGTAAACATATATCTAATATCATATGTTGCATTTTCACGTAAGCATGTAAATCATGTAACATATAAACATACATCCATTTCTATGTACTAATGCACACATAGTAATCACATAACATTATATAAGTTACTTCTTACCATAGTAACTCTATCATTGACTCATCGCAAGCCAATGTTTGATCAATCACATAAGTACAATTTAAATTGCACTCACCTTAGCCTTGCTTTGATTCGATTATAATCCTTTGATTATTCCGGAACTTGTTTAGGCTCAATATCTACATAAATATATCATTTCAAAACAACTATCAGAAGCCTAAACTTTAAACTTGATGTTAATAACTTAAACCGGTTTAATGAATCAAATTCTATATTTTGATTTAGGGGGGAATCGATACCCCCCTAGGGGAATCGATACCCCCTGAACATACTGGAATTTTTCGTTCAAGAGGGGGAATCGATTCCCATTCATAGGGTATCGGTTCCCTCTACCCAGAAATTGTATTTTAAGCTCGAAAATCATCAAGTTTTCATTCAATTCTTCTATTTTAAACTCCTACCATGTCATTAAACTCAACTACCATTGCTTAAACTAACTTATATCCATGAAAATCATCTATAACTTCAAAATCCTATCATTCATATGAAATTCAAGAATCATACTCAATTTTCCATATGTTCTAAATACAATTCTAACACTTCTATCTTCTTATTCTCATAGATGACAAGTCAAATTCAACTTAAAATTCAACTTATCAACTCTATTCCATGATTTCATATAAAAACTCATTTTCTTAAATCTCTTATAACTTCTTCATCTTTTGATTTTAAGATAACTTAAGCTTTCCTTAAGCTTAGTTATCCTCTAAGGATCAAAACTCATGCTTAAAATCAACAAACAATCAAGAAATTAGAGAACTCACATTTGCTTTGAGTTTTCACGTGGAGAAGAGAAGAAGATGAAGAAGAGAATTGCTTTGAAGCTTATCTCTTCAGTCATTATCCACATGGGAATTATAATACCCATTAATTATTATTTAATTATTTTCCTTGTTCAATTACTTATTTGCCCTTTAACTCCTTTAATATTTACTAATAACTTTCAGGAAATATCTCCACATAAATCATCAAATTATTTAACTATTCTACTTTAATCACCATATTCTGAAGTTTTTACAATTTAGTCATTAACCCGTAGTTTGGGATGTTACAGAATGTGCTTCAATGAATTTGACTTTTGCATCCACCGTCACGTACGATAGCCGAGCAATTATCATTGATGGGAAACGCCGTGTTTTGGTATCTGACTCCATTCACTACCCTGGCAGCACCCCTGATGTAAGCTTGAATTTTCTGTCATTTTCCCCTCGTTTTCCCTTTACCTGTTTTTGGAAAAGGAAAAAATGTGCCAACAATCCGATGCTCCTGACCTTATTATAAGTTTGGGGTTTTAAGATTTAGGTTTTTTACTTGCAATTTCGATCATAGTTAATCGTTTCGCTTGGAATTTGCATGTTTTAGTCAAAAGAGGTTTCAATATGTTTCTTGTTTATTTTGAAAATCAGGGCATTGGTTGGTTTTTGATACATAATTTCTTTTTTTATCTTGGCAATGACAGATTAACACCTGCAATGGATTCTACTGTGATCAATTCACTCCAAATTCTAATAAGAAACCAAAAATGTGGACCGAAAATTGGTTTGGATGGTATGGTGTCCAAGTCCAACTTGTCAATATAATTTACAATCTGACTTCTACTTAGTAGTTGTTTTGGTGATATGGATTAAATGTCTCCATCATAATGCTACTTGCTTGCTTCTCTTATTCAACTTTTTATCAAAAAGTATTTCTTCATTACTTCCCAATATATTTCAAATGCTAGGTTCCTTTCATTTGGTGGTGCCGTTCCCTACAGAGCTGTAGAAGACCTAGCATTTGCGGTTGCACGGTTTTACCAAAGAGGTGGAACTTTCCAAAACTATTATATGGTAATCATAATTGGAGTTTCAAATGTGTTTGTGCATTGTCTTTTATAGTAATAAAATCCAATCCTAGAATCTAGTACGCAGTCTCATTTCGAACGGAACTTACGGGTCAATTTTTTTGGTTTCTCTTAAAATAGTATCATGGTGGAACAAACTTTGGCAGGACTACAGGTGGACCCTTCATTACTACTAGTTATGATTATGATGCTCCAATTGATGAGTATGGTATGTCTTCAGTCAATCTAATAAAAATTATTAGCACTTCTAAGCATCTACTTGGCCTCCTGTAACATACTTGAGGTTATCATCTTGTATGAAACTTGACTCATATCGGTGGTTATTACAATAGAATGACTAATGTAAAACCATGATTATTCGGTTTATAATTTCATAAACGACATCTTCTAAGTTTCACCTGTCTTCCAATTCCCTGTTTTTTTTTTTCAGGACTTGTTAGACAACCTAAGTGGGGTCACCTAAGAGATGTTCATAAGGCTATAAAGCTTTATGAAGAAGCACTGCTAGCCACTGATCCTACCATTTCCTCCTTAGGTCTAAACTTGGAGGTATTTTCCATATTTATTCTCTTTCTTTCTCATTTTAAAAGAGAACCTTACTTCTTTGCTTCTATGTTGGTTATCAATAAGAACTCAAAGAGGGCTACCTCTTTATTACTTCTTTGTCTGATTGGTGAGCAAGGGTCCCATTGAAATCTCAAGGATCATAATATTTTATACACATAAATGACAAAAGATAAATCACTTTTGTAACATCCTCAATACCGGGTTAGTGACTAAATTGTAAAGTATCATAATTTAGTTGTTAAAATAAAATGAATGAATAGTATAAAGATTTATATGTAAATTATTGTGTAGGATGGAATTGAAAGGAAGAATGAATGGAAGGACAATAGAGTAATTGCAAGGAAAATAATTAAAGAAAGGATAAGTATAGATATAAGGATACACGTGGGTGGAAGGGGAGAAAACACCCAAGACTTCCAGAGTTCTCTTCTTCTTCTTTCTTCCCTGTGCGTGTGAACCAAAGCAAAGGTAAGATTTCTGATTATTGAGTTTCTTGTTAAATTTAGTATTGGGTTTTGATTATTATATGATAACTAAGCTTAACGAAAGCTTAAGTTATCTTAACATCAAATGATGATGGAGTTAGGAGAGATTTAAGATTGGAAGTTCTTAAATGAAATCTTGGAATAGAGTTCATAACTAGAATTGAAAGTTAAATTTGACTTGTCATCAATCTAGTTAAGATATACGAAGTGTTAAAAGCGGAATTCAATCATGTTGATTTATTAATGTAATTCTTGAATTACATATGAAGGATAGGATTTGAAGGTTGAAGATGAAATAAATGAGTATAAATTGGTTTAAGGATGTGTACTATAGTTAAGAATGAAAAAGAGGATTAAACATGAAGGATTTAATCCAAAATGAATGAATTTTCGGGTTCAAAAAGAGGATTCTGGGCAGAGTGCATCGATGCATATTCATGGTGAATCGATGCATTAAGGTTAAAACCTAGAAAGTGTTTGAAGGTGTATCTATGCACTGGTAGTGCATCGATGCACTCTTTTAAAATAAAAAGATCGAATGCAATTAGTGCATCGATGCATAAGGAATACATCGATGCATCCCATTAATAATAAAACATCGAATGCATTTTATGCACCGATGCACAAGTAGTGCATCGATGCATACCTTCATTAAAAGAGGAAATTGGCATTTATCTTAATCTAAAGAGTGAACCATTAGAGTATATTAGCTATAATACTGATATAGATCCATGTGTGATTATGTAGATACTAAAAGTAAGCTTATTCTGGAACGATCAAAAGATTAGAATCGAATCAAAGCAAAGCTAAGGTGAGTGCATACTATATGTATAGTATAATGGAATAAGACTTGTGATAAGTCTAATTTCTATATTGATTTTCATAGTACAATAGTTGTGAACATGCATACATGTTATTGTAATACATGCATAAGGCATATATATATGTTCATGTGATTGGATAAGTGATGTATATATATGAATAGATGCAAAAACACATGTGATATGATATGTGATATGAGAACATGACATGAGCTACATGATCACAAGAGAAATGACATGAGCTACATGATCACAAGAGAAATGACATGAGTACATGAACATATAAAATATAAGAATAATGCCCATAGTATACGATATGAGAGCTATAGGTGTAATTGGCATGCCAAGAGTCGAAGGTATAATATTCCTTCGGGACGTAGTCCTTCGGGATGTAGTGGTCCTACGGGACATATATGACAGTTCTTCGAGACGAATACTAAACTAAGGTTCGGTGCCCCATGAGGGAATTGATACGAGCTGTGGTGACAGTATTAGTGCACAACCTCAATGCACTCACATACCTCTATTCTCAATAATATACATGGGCAATTGAAATACAAAGTAAAGTGAAAGTGGTACAAGAAGGTAAGTTTTGTACATGCATGATATGATTATATATGTTATTGTGTAATAGATATATGTATATTGAAATGTCATGAAGGAAATGGTAAGAATGCATATTCATGAAGATATTGTTGCATATTCATTTATTGCCTCACTAAGTCTATGACTTAACGTATAAGTGATTTACACGTAGGTACCAAAAAATAAGAAGATTCAGAATAGCAGTGGCACGGACAGCAACATTACTAAGAAGTTAGATCAGAAGTAATTGACAAAGTATGTATTTTGTTGTGTATAAAGTGTTGGTATGTAATAAGTAGTTAATTATGAATGCTCTGATCGATTTTGTATTAAGTTGTCTCTTTTATGTAAATTAAAGTATTTTGTTTTAATGAAAGTTTTAAATTCCCGGGATTTTTCTTTAAGAATCAAAGTTTGAAAAGTTAATGTGACATCTCGGACTTGTATTCGGGTCAAATATGAGTTAGGGGTGTTACATTTAATGGTATCAGAGCTACGGTTTTGTCGATTCTCGGCATAAACCGGAGTCTAGAGTGTCTGATAATGTATACATACCAACAAAAGAGTAGAAACTTCTGATCTGATGGAATAGTAAGTATGTTGTTTTGCTAATAGAACTATATGTTGTATTTTTATAGATGTCCGGACGAGGTAGTTCTAGGAATGAAGCGGGAGGTGATAGACCCGCTGAAAGTAGTAATTCACCTGCCCTGGCCAGGCAGAGTGAAGAACATACATCCTCTGGAATGCCTGTAAATGATCAAGATGTATTCTTTAGAATGTTAGACGCGGTATTGACACGTTTCCAACCTCCTGTTACTTCAACTCCAAAAAAAAATGTTGCGAAAGAGTTGAAGGGATTAGGAGCTCCAGAGTTTAGAGGGGAAGCCGATGAAGGTCCTGTTACTGCGGACCTTTGGCTTAATGACGTGAAGGTCATGCTTACGGGACTTCATTGTTCCGATGCTGAGAAAATGGATGTTGTAATTTCCTTGTTGAGAGGACAAGCAAGGATCTGGTGGACCAATGTTACATTGAGAATGTCTAACGCCCAAGTAACTTGGTCATTATTTTTAGAAGAATTCAAGCATAAGTACATTGGAGATCAATTTGTTCGTCAAATGAAGCAAGAGTTCATGAATTTGAAGCAATGAAATCACACTGTATATGAGTACGAGTGTGAATTCAATAAGTTGAGCCACTTTACTGCCGAGTTAATTCCTACGGAGAAGGATACTTGTGAGTGGTTTGTAGAGGGTTTACATCATCGATTGAAGGAAATATTAATTATCTTGAATTTATCCTCGTTTCAAGAGGTAGTCAACAATGCCAAGGCTCTGGAAAGAGCTCAGAACGAGAGGTTTGAAAATTTGAGAGCTCAGGAAGTCAAAAGAACGGGTGCTTCTTTGAGTTCCGCACCATCAAAAAGGGGCAGAGATACTGGTTTTCAACCCCAAGTTAGATCAGAGTCAGTGACATCCTCCACTAGATGGTCAAATCAGATAAGAGGTAGACAAACTCAGTCAGTGGGATCTGGAGCTGGGAGATCTAATCAGAGTCAAGCCAGACAATGCTCACATTGTGGAAAGAATCATTCAGGGATATACTAGATGATTTCTGGAGTTTGCTTTAGATGTGGGGATGCTGAGCATTTTGTTCGGGATTGTCCAATGTTAACCAGTGAAGCTATACAGCCAGAGAGATCTATTTCTGCAGGCCAGAGAGGAAGAGGTAGAGGCAGAGGAAGAAGCCAATCGAAATTCTCTGCTCAACAGGAGATACACTCCACTGCTCGAGTGTACAACCTCAAGACCAATGAGGATTATGATGACCCAGATATTATAACAGGTACATTTCTATTGTTTGACAAAGGTGTAGTTGTATTGATTGATACGGGGTCTACATATTCATATATTACTAGTAAGTTAGTGAAAGAATTGAACATTCCGTTAGAAACTACTAGCAATGATGTGATAGTGACAAACCCATTAGGGCACAGTGCTTGGATAAATTTGGTAAGCCGAGGGTGTCCTATACAAATTCAGGGAATTGAATTTCGTACTAATCTGATGAAATTACCTTTCGACGAATTTGAAGTGATACTGGGAATGGATTGGTTATATCGTTATTACGCTAATGTTGATTGTAGATTAAAAAGAGTAACGATGAGAAGTCCAGAAGGGGTAGATGTGGTGGTATTTAGTGAAGTATGAAATCCATTGGCAAATGTAATTTCAGTAATATCGGCGAAGAAGTTATTGCTACAAGGATGTCAAGGGTTCATTGCTAATGTGCTGGATATTAGAACCAATGAGAAAGGGATTGAAGGAATTCCTATAGTCAGAGAATTTCCCGATGTATTTCCTGCAGAGTTGCCAGGTTTACCTCCAGACAGAGAGGTAGAATTCCAGATTGAGATAATACCAGGAACAGCGATGGCTCCAAAAGAGTTGCAAGAATTAAAGATTCAATTACAGGAGTTACTAGACAAAGGGTTTATTAGACCAAGTGTATCACCTTGGGGAGCTCCTGTTCTATTTGTTAAAAAGAAAGATAGATCAATGCGTCTTTGTATCGATTACAGATAGCTCAATAAAGTGACCATCAAGAACAAGTATCCACTTCCCCGAATTGACGATTTATTTGATCAATTAATGGAAGCTTCAGTGTTCTCAAAAGTTGATCTACGTTCGGGTTATCATCAATTAAAGATTCAAGAGAAAGATATTTTAAAAACGGCGTTTAGAACAAGATATGGTCATTATGAGTTTATCGTGATGCCGTTTGGAGTTACGAATGCACCGGCTACTTTTATGGATCTAATGAATAGGATATTCCAACCATATTTGGATCAACTTGCTGTGGTGTTTATTGATGATATTTTAATGTATTCAAAGTCAAAAGAAGAGCATAGTTCACACTTACATATTGTTTTACAGATTTTACGAGACAAGAAGCTTTATGCTAAATTTTCTAAGTGTGAATTTTGGTTGAATGAAGTGACATTCCTTGGACATGTAATTTCTGCAGAAGGAGTTCGAGTGGATCCCCAAAAGATTAAAGCTAT